CCCTTTGCCTGCATTCCCGGTTTGGTACAGTGCCACGTCAGCAGTGCCACAGTGCCACGTCGGCAGTGCCCCACCACCATGACGGGCTCAGTTCTGGGCATGCCAGGCCAACTGGCCAATGAGTCCATTGCCGAGTACCGACAGCGTTTCGAAGCTCAGCTCGCACTGATCGAGGCTGAGGAACAGCGTCAGGCGGCAGTCGAGGCTGCCCGCCTACAAGCTGAAGCGGCGGCAACAGCTGAAAAGCAGCGGCTTCAAGCCGAAGCAGAAGCAGATACCCAGGCACGCCGCAAGGAGGCCGAGGATCTGCTACAACGGCATGAAGCCACCAACATCGAAAAGCTCAAATTCTGGCATTTTGACCCATCCGAGCAGCACGAAGACGCTACACCGGAAGAGCAGCACAAGGAGTTCCTTGCCAAACTCGTGACCCGGTTGGTTTACACGTGTAACCACCTGCAGTCCGAACTGGCGAATCTCCGACGGGCGGTGCAGAACCACAAGGGTCTGCACAAGGATGCTACACGGGCACTTGATTCCCGTGTACAGGACTTGGAGCAAGTTGCACCAAGACCAGATGCTGGCGAGTCCAGCAGTGCACCCTCTACCCGCCAATTGGAAGAACGAGTTGACCACGTAGTCGCAATGCTCAGCGAAATCAGCACCTTCGCTGCACCAGCAACCATCAGCAAGTTGCTGGACACCTTGAAGACCGAGGTTCAGCAACTGCACCAGCGGCCCAACAAGGAGGGCAACACTAGTGCGCAACACTACAAAATGCCGACATTCCAAATCGAGAAGTTCGATGATTATACGCATCAAGACCCAGTCCCCGGGTGGGAGGGCTTTACGACGCAACTTCAGATTTTTTTCGTCCCCGAGCACTCGTACATTGGCGCGCTGTTCCTCAGCTCCAAGGGCGGATGCCAAATCTAGCTCAGCCACCTGGCAACCATTCACGGCGTCCAGGTCGCAGATATGAAAGATAAGATCTCTTCGGAAGAGTTAACAAGGCTATGGAAGAAGCGGTTCATCGTAGACGACGCCCCGACGCTCGCCATCAACCGCCTCTTCGCTATGACGCAAGGCAACACATCGACACGCGACTGGCTCACGGAATGGCAAAAGATCGTGGCGACGCCCGATCTCGAATTGCCATTTTCGCATCTGCGCCGGGAGTTCTACAACCAGTCATGTGCCGCCTTGAGCCTTGCACTTGGTGATTGCGAGCAATACGCAACCTTCGCCCAAATCATCGACAAGGCAAGGGAGATCATCAAGACCAATAGGGCGGTTGCACACGAGAAGTCGGCATGGCAGCCAACCTATGTGGAGAAAGGAAAATTTGGTCCGCGTCGGCAGCATGTCGCTGCAGTCCACTCGGACAACATTGTGGAAGACCCGGCAGCCACCCAAGCATCACGTGAGGGAGATCTGGTGGCTGTTGTCCAACGGCGAAGCAACAACAACTCCCGAGGAAAAGGGAAGGCGAAAACCGCATCGCCGGCCGGAAACGGACAGCCAGCACCATGGGTCAAGTTTCACTTGACCGAGGCCGAATACAAGTGGCGCGGTCGGTATGACTGCTGCTATTGGTGCAACAGCACCAAACACAAGACCTCCCAATGCCCGGATCAAGGCAAGAAGGATGTTCGGCCTCGCATCAACTCGGGAAATTGAGTTGCGCGGGAGGTGAGGCGACTCCACCTCTCACTCCGCCAGATTCGGCCGCCTTGCTAGCGGCCTCCTACACATCTGGGGAGGATGCGAATGTCTCAAGTCCTCGGTTCACTTACGAGGATTATGCTGTCCACTTGGTCCCACCGTTGGACCAACCACTCCACGTGCAACAATCCACCGCATGCACGGTTTCACTACCATCGGCAACCGATTCGGCAGCTTCGCCGCCATCTATCGTCGGGGATTCGACGACATGGTCAAGACTTGAAGAGCTCGACCCGTTGACATTTGCGGACTTCCAATGGATGCCCCTTTCCCCGTCCGGTCGATTGCCGAAACCGCATTGCAACGTGTTCATGGCACAATTGCGGGATTACTTGCACACTGCAGTACCAGCTCCGTTGATGGACACCGGAGCAGAGGTTGTCGACCATTGCGAAGATCGACCGCGAGTTCAAGACACAACGGTATGACGACATCGACGCACCATTGTTATACATACGCATTCAGATCGGAGAGGCGACCTGCAACGCTTTGATCGATTGCGGAGCTACTCGCAACTACATGGGCCAAGACTTTATGGTACGTGCTGGCCTTGGGCCACGGGTTCGGAGAAAGTCGCAGCCCAAGCAAGTCACGCTGGCCGACGGTCACACGCATAAGTCAATCGACCGGTGCATTGATACCGTCCCCGTGTACTTCGCCCCGCATGCAAGCGAGGCCGTGTCCTTTGACATTTTAGACACCAAGTTCGACATGATCTTGGGATGTCATGGTTGCGAAGCGAGGATCACTCGGTAAACTTCTACCACCGCACCATTCACGTTCGTGACCGGAACAGAGTACTAGTACCATGCACGGTACCTCCTCCTCACCCTTCGATCAGCTGCCATGTGGTATCCGCCGCAAGCATTCGAGCTTCCATCATCCGGGATGACATCGAGGAGATGGGGGTGTGTTTTCTCCACGCCCTCCCGCCCCAAGACATTCCATTAACGGACTCACCACTAGACCGACGCATCACCGAGCTTCTCGACGCCTACGGCGACGTGTTCGAAACCCCGCACGGAGTAGTACCGGATCGGCCCATCCGCCACGAGATTATCCTCGAGGATGGGGCCGTACCTCCGCGTGGTTGCATCTACCGCATGAGCGAGGAAGAGTTAAGTGTGCTAAGGGCACAACTCGACGACCTTCTCGAGAAAGGCTGGATTCGGCCTAGCCCTTCGCCATACGGTGCTCCCGTTCTCTTCGTCTGGAAGAAGAACAAGGAATTGCAGTTGTGCATCGATTATCGCAAGCTCAACGCGCAAACCGTCAAGAACGTCGGTCCGCTTCCGCGCATCGACGACCTCCTCGAACGACTGGGCGGCGCCAAGTTCTTCTCCAAGCTTGACCTCAAATCGGGATATCACCAACTCGAGATCCGCCAGGAGGACCGCTACAAGACCGCGTTTAAGACGCGATATGGACATTTCGAATGGCTGGTTATGCCTTTTGGCCTTACGAATAAACCGGCCACATTCCAAGCGGCTATGACAACGGAGTTCCGACGCATGCTGGATAGATTCGTACTCATCTAACTCGACGACATTTTGGTGTACAGCCGGAGTTTGGACGAGCATGTGGAGCACCTGCGCACCGTTTTGGAACGGCTACGACAAGCCAAGTACAAAGCCAACCGCAACAAATGCGAATTCGCGTGGCAAGAGATGGAGTACTTGGGACATTATGTGACGCCGCAAGGCATCCGTCCGCTTGCGGACAAGATCGAGGCCATCTGCGTATGGCCCGAGCCCACCAACACCACAGACGTTCGCTCATTCATGGGGTTGGCAGGCTACTATCAACGCATCATCACCGGGTACTCAAGGATTGCCGCACCTATGACGAGATTACAATCGCCAAAGGTGCCATTCGTATTCGATGACGATGCACGCCAGTCATTCCAAGCACTTAAGACGCCCATGCTCATGGCACCCGTCCTTAGCATCTACGACCCCACCCTGCCAACGAGAGTGACAACCGATGCTTCCGGCTATGGCATTGGGGCAGTCTTGGAACAACACGACGGCGACGACTGACACCCTGAAGAGTATTCCAGCCACAAAGTGCTTCCCATCAATTCACTTGATGATGCAAGGAAGAAGGAGCTGCTCCCGTTCGTGATGGCTCTCAAACGATGGCGACACTTCCTCCTTGGGCGTTGTAGGTTCACATGGGTCACGGACAACAACCCATTGACCTACTACAAGACGCAGGATACGGTGAGCAGCATGATCGGACGATGGATGTACTTCATCGACCAATTTGACTTCACACCGAAGCATCTCCCCGGCCTCTCTAATCGCGCAGCAGATACACTCTCGCGAAGACCCGATCTTTGCGCTATGACACATCATGCCTTCGCATTCGACGAGGAACTCCAGCGACATTTCATCCGGGGCTATGAGTCTGATCCGGATTTCGCCACATTGTATGCGCAACTATCTTCGGATCACTCGCCGACCAGCCACTATCGCATCGTCGACGGGTACTTGCTCCTCCACTCGAGAGGCAAGGACTTATTGTGTGTCCCACGAGACCGTTATCTTCGGACTCGCCTCCTTGGGGAGTACCATGACTCGCGATTCGCCGGCCATTTCGGAGTCAATCGCACTATTGCATGACTTCGGCAACGATTCCGATGGCCAGACCTCATTACGGATGTCACTCGATATTGCGACTCTTGCGAAGTTTGCCGAAGAAGCAAGCCCCACAACCGCAATCCCTACGGCGAGTTGCGCCCGATGCCTATCCCATAGGAACCCGGCCTCTCCATTGCCATGGACGTCACCGGTCCGTTTCCCCGTGACCGGCTCGGGCACGACAGCATCCTCACGGTTGTTGACCGTTTGAGTAAGTATGCGCAATTTCTTCCTTGCAAGTACTACGCCACGGCTCCCGAACTTGCGCACCTCTTACACACTGGCTGGATTTGCAGCCACGACGTGCCGGAAGACATCGTCAGTGATCGAGACACTCGCTTCATGTCGAGATTTTGGACCGCTCTCATGCAGGAATCCGGCACGAAGATGAAACCAAGTTCGGATCGGCATCCACAAACGGACGGGAAAACAGAGCGGCCACATCAAACCGCTCAAATGATGCTTCGTACACTCATCCGCCCCGATCAGAAGGATTGGGTTGACCGCCTCCCCAACATCGAGTTCGCCTACAACACCTCGTTGCATCCGGCGATCGGCGTGACTCCATTCGAGTTGCACCACGGTGGCCGGAAAGGTCGTATCTTCGCTGATCTTCTCCTCCCACGAACAACCGATATAGACGCTGCTTGCTCCCCCGCTTCCGTCCGGAAGTACAGGGAATTGCTTGCTCAAGCCCACGCGAACATGCAAAAGGCTCAAGTCCGCATGCAGCAGCAAGCCAACGGGCATCGCGTGCCATGTCCCATCCGTGTCGGTGATCTGGTGTGGGTCTCCGCAGAAGAGTTTGCACTTGAACAGGATGTTTCACGCAAACTGCTTCCCAAGTGGTTTGGACCATGGTCCGTAACATCAGCCGCGGGCGATGAGCCCGAAAGCCCCTCATTTGTGATCACCATCCCCCCGCATCTGACGGTCCATCCAGTCTTTCACGCCTCGAGCCTGGCAACATATACACCAGCTAAGAGCGACGACTTCCCGAGCCGACGATCGCAGGACCCTCCATCTATGGATGGTCATCAGGAAGTTGACCGCATCATCTCGGATCGCAAGTACGGCAGCAAGCCTCAACAGTACAAAGTTACATTTAAAGCATGCGATCCCAACGACACTTTGTGGATTTCAGGAACAAATTTGAAAGCATCCGCACCGCTGATCTACGCTCACTACAAGCGACAAAGGTTAGCTCAGGGAACTTCACGACCTGCCCTTCCCACCCGGACTATGGTCCCTCCCTCAGACAGACAGCTTCGCCCTCGCAGATAAGCTTGGTCTTTCAAGGAGGGGAGGGTGTGGCATACTGCACAGCCACACGGGCCTGCAGGGCCCATCCCGCGGTCTCAGCCTAAAAGCCTAGAAACAAGGGCTTACAGACCCCGTGTCGTTTCAGCATAAAAGCCAGAAAACGAGGGCATGCAGGCCCTATGTCTAAAACAAGGCCTTTCAGGCCCTGAGTCTTTTCAGCCCGAAACGGAGGGCCACTTTCGGGCCCTCATAAGATCGACCTGCCCTAACACTCAGGCACCAAACCAGGGTTTCGGGAACAGGCTATTTTGGGCCTGTTCCCACGACAGCCTCAGCAGGAGCTGCAGCGGCAGGCCCTGGCTCACTTCGGCATTGGCAAGAGCAGCCTCCTGGACTGCCCCGCCCTGCAGCTGCAGGCAATCAGGAGGCAGGCCGAGTAGTACATAGGGAGTTCCCATGCACTTCACGGGTAGGTAGAAGGCAGGAGGCAGTCTTCAGGATTCGGCAGCAGCACTCTGGAGGAGCGTTGCAGGAGTAGCGTTAGCGCTAACAGTAGTCTTCAGCGCTGGGCGCTAGTAGCTGCAGGAGTAGTCTTCAGCGCAGAGCGCTAGTAACAGTAGTAGTAGTAGTGTTGGAGAGAGATGGCTGGCGGAGGCCAGTGAGACTTACCTGTGGCGCCATAGCTCCAGCTCCATCTTCGAGGTACCTGCATCA